ATGCAGTGAGGAAAAATTCATATGTTTTCGCGACTTTTTCCAACAACAACAATACAGTATTCTCTCTGTCTCTCTCTCACTGCTCCTCTGCTGCTCTTCTGCAAAGCAAATGCAATCCATGTGTATTTTTTGGTCGTACTTCTCTCCTGCTCCAGAAAAAAAATTGTGTGAAATAAACATAAAGATGTTTACTCCGCTCTAATTTATTTGCCAGAAGTACTCATCGATTATCTGGCAGGGATTTGTACGATATTTATGGATCGATTCATCCAATTCGAACCCATAATCCCTCATATATCCCCTGTACCGAGACACTTTTTCCCCATTTTCATCCTGCAGCAACCGTAAAGGAAATTGTAGATTATTTGCAAATTTAATAAGGCCCCCCACCCCTCCCTTCACCCTGCTCCTTTTTTCCATCCTGCAAATGGGGAAACTTGACATCGTCTCTGGGTCTCACATTTCCCTGACAGCTTTCCCCCCCACCCTTAGCTGTGTGGGAGGGTGGAGGGGACTGAAGCTCGTTCGTTGTCTGTTTTGAAGTTTGCCTGCATGTAAATTGCTCTGATTACCACGTTGCAGTTTTCCTGCACCCTCCAGACCCTCCACCCCCCCTCGCAACTCTTCATTTCCACCATTCTGTGTCTCCTTTTCTCACTTTTGCTTACTCATTTGATTCCGTTGTCTCTCGTCCCTAGTCTTCTCCGCCTTGCCTTTTACTTAACCAAATGCAAATCGCTGTTATTACTGCACTTTCCTTTGCCTTAGTCGATCCCCTACACCTCCACCTCCTGCTCCTTTCTTTTGCCTTTGTTCCGTTTAAAACACTTGAAGTATTTATGTGCTCCTTCCTGTTGTGCTGCTCCAGGGTCAGAGGAGCTATGGAGTCGCAAAGTGTCATAAAATTTGAATGCAACTTGCCTTTTTTTTTGCTTCTTGCAACAATTTGAGTGGAAATGAGAAGTCATTTGTTCGGTATTTATTGTGTGTTCGGGAAGGAAAGGAAGGTGTGTTGTGGCTCTTTCGAAGAGGAGGGTTCCTGTCAACAGTTCTACTTCTGATGATAGATCATGGGTAAACAAATCACTGGGGACTCATTTGAATTGATTAACTTGTTTTTGAGATACACCCAGAGAAAAAACAGGGGTAAAATTTGAGTTTTTAAAATTAAATTTAAAAATATATACAAAAATTTCAACAGAGAATAGTAAAAAGTAAGGTCACATTTTGACATTGATATGAGAATATTAAAAATTATATATAAGTACATATTTCTTGTTTAAAATTAATATATTTCATATTGAAAATAAATGCGATGAAAATTATATCTTGAAATTGTATTTTTTACATTTCCTTTTATTTCATATATTTTTTTTATGCTTTATGCACTTTTTATATTTTTCATAATTTTTTATATATTTGTATTAATATTTTTGTATACAATTTTATCAATATTTGTTTCATATATTTTTATTACTATTAATTTATATATTTTTTTCATAAATATTATTATTTTTATATATTTATTTTCTTTTTTATTTAGATTTGATTTATATACAAATCAAAGTGAATTCTACATCGTTTCACTATTTTTGTACTTAACAACCGAATATTTAATATATTTTGAGTGTGCTTCTTTTTCTCCGAGTGTAGCTTCAAAAAGTTTGTGGAATGGACAGCTGTCAGCTAATTAATCCTACAAAATGGATTGTCTCACATGGAATGTATATCAGAGGTTGAGTAGATTTTAAAGCAGTCCAAGGAGCACTGAAATTCAATGCATAAATTGTTCCCCAAAATGCAACACCCACACCCACCTACAGATGGTATGTTTTATTGAATACTTTTTCTGTGGAAAAACCATTATTACAACCATTTTGCAGCATCGATATATCTCGTGTTATTTCTGGATAGGCTGCTGGTGATGCTGCTGCTTCCCACGCTGACGACACTCAAGCCTTTTGCTTAAGAACATCCTCAACCTCCCCCCGCCCCACCTATAAAAGCACTTTTAAAAATGTCTAAAGAAGAAGGCCATGCCTGCTGTCTCTCTCTCTCTCGGTCTGCCAGGAATAACAATAGCAATGCCAAAGAACGTGGGAGCCCCGAGCCCAAGGAAAAACCAATCAAAGGCTCTGTCCTCTTTAGCATTGCTGCCTGCCAAAAAGTATGCAACACTTTTGCGACACTCCACCCAAAGGAGGGGAATGGAGATCCAAAGAAGAGAGCAAGAATAAAAAGTGGAGCCAAAACCAGGAAACAAAACTCGGCGACTCACTCAAGCATTTTATTAAATTGCCACCTTCCGTTTGTTGTTACGTTGAGACGACGACGACGACTCCTCCGACGACTGTCTTTTTCTATATCCAGTTTTTCGATTTCTAGGCAGACTACCCTCCCCCTACACCCCCGCCCTCCTCTGGCGGTAAACCAACAACGTTGCAAAAAATGAAAAAATATATTTCTGCCATCTTTTTTACCCCACCCCCACCCCCCATTATATCGTTTCCGCTGTTGGCCCACGAAAAAATTTTCTGTCAGCTGTTTTGTTGCTGCCTCTTTGGAGGTTAAAGTGCCAAATCACGAAACAAGCAGCAACATTTCTGAGTCTAGTTTGGGGTCTAAAGAAGAGGGATATTGAATTGCAATTTTTGGCTGTGGTGCTGCACGGTTCGAGGCGTCTCTATAATGCGCCAAATGTTGGATGGAGTCCAAAAACTTAAATTTGCATTGAATTTTTGTTTTAGGCGCAATGCGGGCGGTGGCAGCCAGCAAAAAGGCTTATCTGAAATTGAAAATTCAACAAACACACGCCAACTTCTGATCAGGGAGTGGTGAACTAGGAAATACCCTAGAATGTGTAGGGGAAACGAAAGTACAGGTAGATTTAAGAAATGAACAGAGCCTTAACAAGGGTTTCCAAACTCTTTCGGAAATGTTTGAAAAACGGATGGTCCTCGAAAGAGAGGAGATGTGGGGATGGCACCACCTACTGTACATGATTATGATTTTTTAAGGCTGATCTAACCTTCTCGGCCAAGATCGCAATCAAATTTGTTGGACCTTCCTGTTCGAACACTGCAATTATTATTTCCCTCTCTTTTTCTTGTATATTTTGGCACAGTTTTAGTTAGTATTTTACCATTTATTTGAAAGTGAAATCGATAAAGTTTTAATGTATAAACTTCCGTTTATAATGAGCTGATTCTCCCCGCTTTGTATTTTCCGCTATTTCCCGCCATGTAAGCCACACCCCGTTTGGAAAACTATCATTTCCATCATTAGAAAAAACAACAAATAAAATAGAAATAGAAAAAACAACCCAAAAATTAGTTAAGCAAACCCACGCGCACACACACTGACACAGAGAGCTAAACCCACACTGACACAGAGAGAAAGTGCCGAAAATTATTAAGCATACGCCATGTTGTACAAGGGTAATTACATATAGCTGCAGGGCCACCGCGACACCAGAACCGGAAGAGGGCCGAAGCGAGAGACAGAGACAGAGTGGGCGTGGTTGTGGTTGGCGGTGGCTTTGGCGGGGGGATTGTATTATTACTGACTTGGCAGGAAGCCGCGCAATGTCAGGGAAACTTTTTTTCCTATTTTTTTTGGTTTTTTTTACAACTTGTTAACAATAAACGCCGCTAGAGGTCGCCCAATTAAAAATGGCATTCCCTCGCTCTACGCTATGCGCGCTCTCGCTCTATCGCCACTCCCCCTCCGCCCTCCCACTCCTCTATCCCTGTGTGTGTGTGGGTAAAAGTCAACATTTTTGTGGTCACTTAAGCAGATTAATATCATGGGTATAATTAAAAGAAGCAAAACCCCCCGAAGCGTGGACAGGATGGAGGAGAGAAGCTTCCTGCCCGGGCAGCAAAAATTAACATAAATTACGACAAAAATTTCGCCAAGTTTTTGTTGTTCGTTTTTGTTAAACATTTTGCTGGCTCACATAATTGATGGTTTTTAATTAACTGCCAAGTGACCGACAACTGACAGGGCCAGAAAGTTCAGGACAAAAGGCAGCCGCCAAAGGGTGACAGACGGACAGAGACAGAGCGACACCGAATGAATGAAAAGTTCAATGAAAAATCCGTTTAAAAAACAATTCGGTTCGCACTGTTTGATTGGTTGGGACGGTACTCTCCTATAGTTTCCCTTTTCCCCTTCTCTGACCATCCCATTGCATGCCTTCTCTTTCCTACCTTCCCACTGCATGCTCTCCCTTTCCCACCTTCCCACTGTATGCCCTCCCCTCCTCCCGCCACTGCATGCTCTCCCTTTCCACCCACCTTTCTACCATTCTCTTCTCTGTCCCACTCTTTCTTTTGGGCCATTGTGGCATGACAATAAAAACTGTCAAAAAGTATTGCCCGCTTTTAGGCTGCCCGCGTTTTTCCCCGCACGAAATTTCCATAACAAAACTCGCTCGGAGATCGGTGGTCACTCTCTGTCACATTCACTTTCTCTTTTGCGCTCTTTGTTCTGTCAGCTGTTTGAATTTCTATATTCTATATATTCCTTTCATACGTGGAATGTGTTCCAGAATCTAATTCCACTAGAAATTTGAGGAAATGCATAAACAAAAGTTTACCATAAAAAAAAAATTGCCAAAAATGTTCTACCAATTTTTTTGTAGAGAATTTTTTTGAAATTTATTCTCTATATATTTCCAAAAAACTTTAAACATTTTTGACTCTAAAGGAAATCAAAATGGGAAATGGAAAATCAATTTTCAAAACACTTTCTCTTTGGGCGATGTGACCGTGCCACCGTAACCCCAATTTATATTTTGTTCTGTGGCACAACACAGACACGTCCACGCACACACCGACAGACACATTTCTCACGCCCCGCTGGTCACTTTGTGCCACGCGTTTTGTTGATTTGTTGGCGGTTTCCAAATGTTTTCGGGCTGCCCGCAGAAACGCATTTATTCACCGAATTTTGTGTATTTTTCTAGCAAAAAGAAAATAACAAAAAAAAAAACTTACCATTGCGATTCTCACTATCGGCGGGCTTCATTTGAATGGGATGATACATCTGCAAGAAAAAAGAAGGCGGGAAATTAAGTGTGAAAAATATTGGCAAAATGTGGGGGAAATATTTTTGGTAGATTTTTCGAAACCATCAAAATGAAGCCTTTGTTCCTTTGCTGGCCGTTATTCTCGGGCCTTTGCCTAGAGAGAGGGAGAGAGATGGCGTTCGAAAGAGACTCGCCCAGAGATTTCATAAGAGCGAGGGGTCACAGATCAAAGATCATAACTACAGACATTTTGTCCTGCCATTGGGCAAATCCTTGCACATTCAAAGCCCTCCACTTTCTCTTGTTAAAATCCAATCCCCAAAGGGCCCCGCCATTCTTCCATTTTAATCACATTTGAAATATTAGAGCGCAATATGCTCGGCATTCCCCGCGCCAAAAAACGGACGAAGGACGCGATTAATTTACACAGCTTTAGACCGAAATGCAGTCACCGAAAACCCACTGCAGTTGAAGGCACAGAGACTGGGAGAGGGTTGTGCTTCACTTAAGCTGCATAATGAATGGAATGCGGGCAAGCAGCGGGCAAAGGAGCCTCCGCCTGGCAGCAGCGCCGCCGCAGAGGAGGAGGAACACAAAGCCTCTGCCTAAATCCTTGACAAAAGCCAAACACATTTATTCAGCGGTCGCTACAAACGGTCGCAGGACTCGGGCAAAGGATGGGTGCGGGGTGGGGAAGGTTGGAGGGTTGGAGGGTTTGTTCCCTCGGAAAAATCCTAAAATATGCGTTGGACTTTGCAGCGTGTTTTAAATGTAATTTTTCGCACACAACGTCTTCTAATTAAAACGAGCTTAAAGCTCGTCCTTTGCCACCACCGGCACGCCCCTTTTTTCCGCACACCAACACACCGAATGGGCACGAGGCCAACGCATTCGCAACACTGAGAGAAAATAGGTCATCAACAAAATACACGCATCAGCGAGACTCGTATAGAGCAATCATGCACACGACATGCAATTTGTTTTTTGTATTTTTGTGCATTCTCTTTTGAATCAATCGCTTCGGCGTTTCAATCATCAATGTACAGTATATTCCCTATTCAAGATTAGATTTTAATAGATTTTCACGCTCAGTGTAGAAATGGCCGCGTGACTGGCGGACACAAGCCCTCACGATGTGAATAGAGGAGTCACGTGTTCAGCTCTAGGGCTGGGGAGGGACCTACCTACCGCGAGGCTAATGGCGCGTGATTTATTGGCAACAGGCGGTGAACGGCGAACGGGGGAACGGGAGAACGACGACAGTCTACGCTAGAAGGCAATGTCCTTGTGCTTCCCCTTCCCGGTGTACCACTGGCACCTGGACTGGCCGTAAATAATACACGCAACGCGACTGCTTACAAATTGCACTAGTCCAAGTCAACCATCGCCTCCTCCCCCTCGAAGCCTTCGTTTCATTTGCTTCTCTTTCGTTCCCACTTTGGGCTCGCTTCCTACTCTGCCCCATTCCTTCTTCTTATTTTGGCCAATTTATTTATAAGCAGGAAGTAGCAATTACCAGTCAAACACAGGCGGCATACACACCCACAACCCACGGAGGGGGTGTCCTCGGCCTGGGGCTCCTTTGGCTCACTGTGTCAACTGGTTTCGTGGTTGACTGTTCTGGCGGCTTTCACCTAATTGGTTGAAATATCGCCGAGAACTGTTTTCTATTGGGGCAATTATCGGTTCGCCTGCACTTAATCAGCAGCCAAAAGTTGGGTCATGAAATGCAGGGCTTTCAGCGATAAATTATCGATGAAAATGAAATGAGAACGAGCTTTTATTTGATTGAAAAAAGATTGATAATAAAGTGACTTAAAAGATTTGGTTGCGAATAGCATAGTGGTTTATAGTTGATCGATTTATTATCGATACATTTTTAGACATTCACATACTTCTAAGCTATTTTGTGTATCGACATTTCGATATATCCATCAATCACTCAAGCTTAAAGTCCGATTCATTCATAATTCTTAAATCAACTAATAAATAACAACAATCCTTCATAGCCACCCGTTCCACCCAGTCAATTTTATATTTTTCCCATTCATTCTGGCCTTTTAGGTTATCTCCCCCATTGGTGTGTCAATACCAATCGAAAGCCACCATCCCTTTCCACAGAAATTTCACCAATCAACATGAATAACCGAAAACATTTTCCGATAACAATCGCAAATTGTGCAAGAAAATTACAAGCCAGCGTCAAAGCCTGTCAGCCCGTCCAACGGAAAAAAAGGCAACCGGCAACCGGCAACCACAATCAAATGCAGCACGCACATGTCCCTGTTATCCTTCCGCTGCGTTGTCCCGTCATCGCCTGCTTCAAGCTCCTTGTTGTACCCTTTTCGAGAGTATTACGATTTTCAGCAGACGTTTGAAATGCAGACAAACGGTTCATTAGAAAAAGTACCATAAAAAATACCAGTAAAATACTAGGAAGACAGGATTGAAAGAAACAGATCACATCTTAGAATCTACGCAGAAAAAATACTGGAAAATATTGGTTGCTTTCATAAAATACTTAAAATAATGCAGAAAAATACTAGAAAAATACCGTTCAAATACTATGTGAATACCAAATAGAATTAGCAAAATCATCTTATAGAATCGATTTAAAAAATACCAGAAAATACCCGAGATTACTGGAGAACCCAAGAAAAATACTAAAAATGTTGCGTCAAAAAATTGTTCAAAAATGTGGAGATTTTTGAAAAAGCTAAATCGAAATGATTAAAAACCGTTTTTTATAGAAAAAATTGACTTTTCTCAAAAATATTCCAAACAAACTCAAAAAGCTTTGATTTCTCTAATGGTTCCATGGATGTTAAAGAGCATCAACTTCTTCGGCGATACCCTTCCTTTCTGTTTCCCCTATTGGTCCTGTTTCCGCTCCCGTTGGCAATTTTCTAAAATAAATATCGCAGCTGCAGGCAGCAGCAGCGACACGCGGCAGAAGCTACATGCAAATTATGTGAGTCGTCGGTCGGTGGTCGGGGGGCTTCCCTCTGAAGCCGATAACGTGATGACATAAGCATTGTCCCTAGGAGGACCCTTCTTCCTCACCCGTCTTCTGCTTCTAGCCAACACATGGCTTTCAAATAATAATAATATTCAATGCTTATTTGATGGCGCTATAGAAAAAGGACAACACCAAAAAAAGCGAGAGAAAAAAAAGCGCAACATTGCCAAATGTCGCTCGCTTTTGCTGACGTGGCACCCTATCTCTCACAGGCTCCTGCTCCCCTCTCCTCAGCTCTTGGTGCCCTTCCCTTTGCACTTTTCTCTCTCGCTGACAACTTTCCAGGGCTCTGCTGCTGCTCCTCTGCTGCTTCTGCTGCTTCTCCAAAGTGCAAATTGACATTTTTGTGCCTGTGGTTTGCTCTCTTCGCTTTGCGCCAGCCAAAAAAAAAAGAAGGAATTCCATGAAAGTGCATTCCGCTGCAACGAATCAGGTATGCCCTTTCTTAGCAGAAGGCATCTAAGGTGCGATTTTGTTTGGTATTCGATTCTTTAAAAGACAAGAAATCTGACAAAACTATTCGACATTCAATAGCATTTCTCCTTTCTCAACCAACCGAGGGGCGCTGCCGCATGACCAAAACGATCGCGTTCGTGCAGGAGAGAATAGAAGTTGGACCAATTATATGTTAAGCTAGCATTTCTTAGATCATCTTCCAATATATAATCTTATTTGAATTCCACAATAATTCTACGAATAAATATCGGTTTTCTTTGAAGAGATTTCGGAAAGATAAGGAATATTTCTGAAAATATTTCCGCCAGTAAAATATATGGCCATATCTGGACTATCTATTCGCCCTCTTCACTCCGTTTTCTACGAATATCTTCTACAAATTATTTATTTATTTATTATTAAAAATCAAAAACAAGATTTGAAAGCCAGTTCTGCCCTGGCTATACCTCTTGGAAGAGTACACAAAAGATAAACTTTTGGCGCGTGTCTTCTTTTGCTAACAATTTTCACTTCTTTTTTTTTTGGTTTTTTTTCGTTGTCTTCTCTCATTTTTAAGCTGCCACAGGACACAAGGCTAAACTTTTGAAATTACTTGCATTTTATAGGGAAATGTGCAGAAAGCGACAAAACAGAAAAGACCAAAAAAAAACGAGTAAAGAAAAGAAAACCGAAACTATGGTATATTGGGAAAATACTAGAGGAAGAAGGAATATTTCGTGCTTCGTGATTTTTTTTTCCCCCTTTAGTACGAGTATGCCGTTTTTTTGTATTTTATTTTCTCTGCTGTTGCTGGTTGGTATTTTTTGTTGTATTTTGTGCGGTGTCATGGCTCTGTCTGTCCAAACGCCAGTCAATCTGTCAGTCAGAGAGTCAGTTAGCCATAATGAAGGAGGCGGCAGGAGAGGCAGCAGGAGAGGCGGCAGGAGAGGCGGCAGGAGAGGCGGCGGAGCCACCACGATGATGATGATGATGGAGGTGAGGATGCTGCCTGCCTGTCCTGTCCCTCTCTCTCGCCCTCCTTTTGGATGTTGTCCTGTCATTCGGATGATGGCGTTTCATGATAAGTTTATAGAGTTTTTTCCTGTTTCTGTCAGATCAGCAAAAAATTCCAATTAAAGGTTAAGAAAGCAAAGACCTTCCGCGCCCCGCCCCGCCTCTCCGCTCCTCTCCTAATGATGTAATACGGGATCTCCCAATAAAGAAAATCAAAGAGAAAATGTCTTCTTACCCCGGCGAGTGTCTTCACATTATGCAAAGCATCCTGGGCCTTCAGTGCGGCACGTCGCGTAAAGAACGTCACAAAGCAGCAACCTGCGAAAATAGGGGAAGGAAAATATATATCAGATTAGCATAAGGGTTAAATTGGAGTTTATTTTTCCACCCACCCCCCAGGAAAAGGTGGCAAAGAGAAATTATGAAAATTATTGTTATTAGCAAAGGCGGCCCCAAGGAAACGGCGCTTTGAATGCCAAAACGTGTGCCAGAGCCAACAATGGGCGTGGCCACCCAGGGCTGGGGGCTGGGGGCAGATGTGGCAACAACATGACAGCCTTGCCACTAAATTAAACATTATGGCCCTCCAGCCCCCACACCCCACCAACAAAATGTGTCGCGAATCCCACCGAAAAAAAGGGGTTGAAAGTGTACCCCAGGTGGGGGGAAAAGGTGTTGGAATTTACGCAGCAAAGGAAGGGAAAGTGTGGCAGGCATATTAAGTGATACTTAAAGCCAAGCATTAGGGCGCACAAAGTGTTCATGTGGCCTCCCCACCCACCCAATATCCTCCCCAATTCGTGTGTAGTTTCCATTTAGCAAAAAATAAAGCAGAGAATTTTTCTGGTATTTTGTGGGATAATTGGGGTTTTAAGGCCTCTTGGGAGGAACTATAATGTTGCCAAATTATAATTATAATTATTTTGTTGTTTACTTTTTTTAGTTTCCCCTCACGATTAAGCGAGTACCTTGGGAGGTACCTCCAAGAACGCACCAAATAATGACAACAAAATATGAACCAAAAAGGTGATACTGATCTTAGAAATCCCTTACTCTATGATCTGTAGATCCAGGCGTCCTTCATTCCCTAAAGATTTTTGAAGATTCTTCACCGCGAAACGATAATTAATTGTAGATTCTAGATCTAGAAGGGGTACAGGAAATTATTAGAATGTCCCTCAATCTACAGAATATCTCAATATAATCAGGACTTTACACATCGCTGTGTAACCATTAGATGCGAGAGGAATATTATTTTCAACGAGTGGAAGGCCCAGAGGATCCCCAAATTATCCGCAGATTCTAATGGAAGTGTTTTATAAGTCTTGGTAGGTTATAGTCCATCGATTTATGTTATCAGATGTTCCTATAGGGATTTCTTTACGCCTGATCTAATCTCCATTTACTCCGTTATATTCCCATCATCATATCCCCAACCTTCAGACAGGCGTGGCATCCTTAAAATTTAACACAAAATCATTTCAATTTCCCTATCTTTCTCTCTCTATCTCTCTATAATTTTCCCTCATCTCTCTTTCGCATGGAATTTCGTTTCAATTTGACCAACAAAAATAGAAGAAATATTTTGTACCTTTTTTTGTATTTTTGATGTGGCGGAAATTCTGTTTCTTTCTTTCCTTTTTCATGTGTGCCAAATCTGTGGCCAAGGCACACACACGCACACAGGCACAGACACAGACACAGGCACCGACACCGACACACACAGAGCTTTGGTTAAAATCCATTTCCGGCTCTTGCACACATCCCTCCCTCCTCGGATATCCCCGCGTCCCGCCCGCAGGTTATCCATTCCCTAACCTGCATGAGGCCTACCTCAACCTCAGAGAGGAGGCAACACTGTGACGGCTGTGGCTGCAACAAAACTTAATACGGGGTGGGGGTGGGGTGGTGGGGGGTGTGGGGGGTTTTGGACGGGCAATAGTTGCATAATGCAATTACCCACGAGCCGTAAGAGCGTATCGCATCGGCGGTATTTAGTGGTGCGACCATATCGTGGACGCTGGGTCGCTGCTCCCAGTCAGGCGTAAAACTCGTTCGGCCGTTCAGGCGAGGGCTGGACCCCTCCCCAAATCTCCCCCTTTCCGTCCTCCCCCTCCACGCAGCAGCAGGTAATTCAATCTGTCGCAGTTTTTTGCAAGCGGCTACATTTTCCTGCATTTTTCACATATTTGCAAATATTTTCATTTCTCGTTTCGGGCTTCTCTTTTTTTAAATATCCGGAAAATCGAGAGGGGAAGAGAGGCAGAGAGAGGTTAGAGCTGGCAGACGGCAGGCGACGCCGCCACATCCGATGTGTGCGAGTGAATTATGGGCTCCAGAGCCCCACACTTCCTCCATCTCTTCATATCTCTCTCTCCCTCTATCTCTCTCTCTATTTTTGTCCTTTATGCAGCAGCTCAAAGGATCTTAAAGTTGGGCAAACGCAAATGGTATGACTCCCCCCCAAAATTGGTTGCGTGAGAACTCCAAAAAAGTCCATTAAATGTTTGGAAATTTAATTAAATTAAATTAAATTTTTAAATTAAATTCGTTTTGAATAGTGGATTCAGTAATTGAATAAAATTAGTTTGAAATTGATTGATTAATCGAATTTCATCGAATATCGAACATTTCACTCGTTAAAAAAAAGAAGAAAGTGTGAAAATTTAGCTGGATTTTTTCTGTGTGATCAGGTTTGTTTTTTGGGAACCAAATTTCATATTGAAGCAGAATTATTTTAAATAATAAAAAAATTAATTAAATAAAAAGAAATATTTCCAATTATATTGAAATAATCCGAATTTCAAACGAATTAATGGACATTTGATCGAACCCTATTGAGGAAGTGCTTCTCCTCCTAAAGAGTCACCTAAATAATAGTTCCATTCGAAAGAAAAGTGTAATTATTCCAGAATAAAATGCCAACATAATTATGAATTATTTAAGTTTTACTCAGCCCCAAAATGTACAATTTTCTGGGTAGATATAATTTATATACCCCTTTTTTAATTGGGAGATAATGAATATCCTCCGCAAACTTTTTCAAAACATATCACCATTCAAATTTCCACAATCCGCAATCCTTTGATTTCAGCAATAAGAAACTTATCCTCCCCAGTCCTCATAAAAGATATCCCATTTCCTAGAAGCCACACAAAGGGCATTAGGACAAAAGAAACGAAAGAGATAGAGAGAGAGAATAGAGAATAGAGAAGAGCTTAACTTGAATTTCAATTCGGAAACGCAGATTAAATATCACTTAAAATTAAACTGGCGTTAAATGTAACAAATGAAGGAAAAATCGAAACCATTTGAAATGCAATAAAACATAGTCGGCAGGGAGGGACGGGAGGGAGAGAGAGGGAGGATATAGATAAGGAAAAGCAATCGAACGATAACGAAGGAGGAGGAGGAGGAGCAGGAGGAGCAGGAGGAGCAGGAGGAGGAGTAGGTGGATGAAAACTGCATCAAAACAACGCTGAAAACAAAGAGAGAAATCTCACACAATTCCCATTATGTGCATGTCAACTGCAGTTAGAATCAAACCCAAGACACACGCTCGCACCAAAGAGAACAATGCGATAAAAAAGAGAAGGGAAAACTAAAGGAAAAGGAAACGGAAAGGGAGGGGGAGGGGGGAGGAGTGGAGGCATCGATGGATAGACGAGTAAAGCTGAAAACGACACCCAGTCACGTTTTTTGGACGAAAAAGAACTTAATCCCGAAAGTGGGGAGGAAGATGAAATCGAGAGCCTCCCCAGACAAGACGTGCCAAAGTCCACCGAAAAGGATACAAATACCAAATACATATAGAACGGATATATGTAGCCTTGGACACACGTTGCACGTCGGACGAGCGTCGGTGGGGAGCAACGAAACGAATTAATCGAAGTTAAATAAATCAATGTCCTTAAAACTTTCCGACCGACACACACACACACCCCCCACACACACACACAGATTTACGGACTGGCATACACAAGAGCAAGAAGCAGAAATAGTAGCAGATAGTAGCGGTGCTCCTCCTCCTCGTACGTACAAAAAGTATGGCAGTAGAATCACAAATGGTGCATCCATCGAATCGAGAGGGAAGGCACTACCCACCAATCGAATCGAATCGAATCGAGTCGAATTTGTTTCACAGATGGAAAGCATTATTGCTGGACAACTTGGGCACACGATAGTTCGAAAAAGAACCCACTGTAGGAAAGTGAAAACCACAGTGAAGAATAGTTAAAATATCGAAACATTTTTTTGAAATTTATTTATTTTTAAATTCTTTTTTTTTAATCAATTTTTAAATACATTTTTTTTATTCTGGCAATCCCTAATTAAATTATTATAGCTCTATTACTTTTTGTCGCTTTCGAGCATTTCATCAAAAAAAGCAGTCGATATTTTTGAGAGTTCAAATTTTTGATTATCCAGAGACCAAGAATCTTCTTCATGTACCAGGATAGGATTCCCAGTTTATAGATGTGATTAGCAGGAACAAAAGTATGGTCTAGCTCTTCGAAGGCCAGGTGTTCAAAGAGCCAACTGACTTTTGTTTCTGTTCTACATTCTGGCTATAATAATCATCCGATTGCTAACGTTTTTTCTCCAATCCAGTAGACATGATCTTTATTTATGATTCTGTTTTCTTGGTTCACTAAAATTTCTATTGCAACTTTTTTGAATTAATATTTCCTTTCAGATACGATTATTTGAAGTAACTGAGAGCCGAAGGCCCCGACGCTAGTGTACCGCTTAATTAATTGTGTAAATAATTCATTTAAAAATGTACTATAATTAATTTGTATAATAAAATAATTAATTAACTGAGAAATAGATGTACAATCTGGTCCAAATCCCCTTAGGTCATCTTTTACACATCTTCCTGTCTCCCATCTCTAGTCCCTTCGGTGGAGTCGTGATCGTCCCTTACCTGGGAGACCGTGACAAATGTTTGGCAATGCCTCAGTGGCAACCAAAAGTCATGACCAAATCCAATTTCCACCCAACAAAAAAAAAAAAGTAGTAAAAATCTAACTGAAACGTTTCGAAAATTGCGCCTGCATTTGAAATTGAAATTCACTTTTTCCCAGGCAAAAAAAAAACACCCCAGAACAGGACGAGAGGGGGGCTGGAATAAAATTAAGTGAAATTTTATGCATTTTTCACGCTCAGTGCAGCAGCTAAATAAAAATGTCAAGAGCACAAAGTTCCACAGAGAGCGAGGGAGAGAGAGAGAGAGAGGGAGAGGCGGCCGATGGAGGCGTTAGATAAGTGCGTTACTTTTCCTTTTCTCTCTCTGTCTCTCTCTGTGAAGGAAAGAC